GTGATAATCATTTAGTGAATAACCACGAAAGTCTTAAAATCTATATAAGTGTTAACTGTCTATTAGAGATTAACAACCATCAATTTATAGCTAACGAAATGATCAGGCACTACCTCCTATTTGTACATTGTATGTCTTTACCAGGATTCATCAGAAAAAATTGTTCGGCCCGTCGTGCTGATGTTAAAGTCTTCAATCTATGAAAACAAGGGTCTTTAAGGGATAAAAACACCTGTTGCCATCGGACACGCGAGCCGACCTTAAGTAAACCGATCGAGAAAGTGAACCATTTGGACAAGTTGACAAAAGTGAACCATTTGGACAAGTTGACGAAAGTGAACCATTTGGACAAATAAGTGGACCGATCGGGAAAGTGGAATTGAATACGTTTATTTGCCAAAATACTGTAATTACATAGGTCTTAAGTAAAATTAATAATAACGCCTCTGTGCCGCAGGTGCCGTGGACACACACACATAGACAATCACAAATTACACCCAAACTCATGAGAAATAAATGTAGGCCATACAAATATTTCGGCCCGGGAATCGAATCTGGGACCTTTGAATGGCAGCATTGACTTACAATTATATGGACGTCGGGTCCGCGCTAAAAAGTGTCCGCACTTGTAAGGCGCTAAAATCGTATACAGAGCGCGACACTCCGCTTTAGTCTTCATTTGTTCTACGGACAGCGCGATACTGTGATGACATAACAATTTAAATTTCGAATAGGTTGACTTGGGACATTTTTTTCGTGGTTTTTGTATTAGACCCGTCGTCCATTTATTTGTAAGTCAATGAACGGCAGTTAAAATTAAGTACATTGTATTCAACTTGCAAGCAGATGTGCACTACAACCTGCAAGGAAATCAGTTAAGTGACGAATTTGTACCACTTTTCATAAATCGTCAGAGAGTGGAGAGATAACAAATAAGTTTATCATGTGGGGTACATAATCATGTCGAATTTGTCGGTCACGTCCGTTTTGACGCAAACGTGAGGCCCGTGAGACAGCGGTCCTTGAGAAAAAGGCCCGTCAGGAAAAGTAAGGGCGTTTCCTAGGAACGAGTCACGAGAGATATGACGAAGATAAAGGGTCCGTAGTTTCACACTGCACACTTTGTTTCGTTCCGTCGTCACTCTCTACCTAATATCTGAAGCGAAAACACGTGCTCGTAGATATGACGATGATAAAGGGTCCGTAGTTTCACACAGCTCACTGTTTCGTTCCGTCGTCACTCTGTACCTAATGTCTGAAGCGAGAACACGTGCTCGTATTCACCCGAAATTCTGATCTGTTTTACCAGGTTTTTAAATTTAAATCATGTAACCTATCTAACATAACTAAAATCAAGTAACCCAACAAATATGAAAATGCGGCCCTTTTGGGGTAAGTTTTTACTGTTTCGCACATGTTTCGTAGCATTTAAGTAGAGAGTATCTTTGATATTGTACCTATGTTTTATACTGTTTTTATTGTTACAGCCTTCTTTTACCTTTTTCTTTTATTATACAATAAATAATAATAATAATTATTATTATTATTACACGTGCAGAACGTTAGCTCAGTTGACTAACTCGCTGACATTCTGACCAAAGAATGTCAGCGAGTAAGTCAGTCAAGGCTTCAAAGCATTTGTTGAAAATTAGGACTGGAACCGCCACAAAGCTTTGAACCAGAGGGAATGTCACAGAAGAACGTTTTGGGATAAGCAAGATTCATACCAGATGTCAGCGTCGAAAGGGTGAAAATATTCTTTTTGTTTTCGTGTGTCATAGTAACTTGTAAAATCTGGCTTTTCACTATTTTTATTCTTGGATTTACGTTACTATAATATTCGATCTTTTAAAGTAAATTAAATTGATGGGCACATCGCATTTCGCATATTTTATTGCGTAAACTGTGTTATAAACCACCACAACTGCCAAAATTTCCTTGCAAAAATGCAGAATGCAGAATTAAAAGAAACTGAAACAAACAACAGAAACTATAAAAACAAACGCAAAATCAGAAACAAACGCAAAAACAGAAACAAGCGCAAAAACAGATGCCGTGAATACAAGGTTTAATTCTCAAAAAATTTATATTTTGATTTAAGTCTTTTGCTCTCAGTATAGCAACCAAGTAATAACTTTAATGAGTAATATTTATCGGTCTGGTGAAACGCTATAAGCATTACCTCGTTCAAATAAAAAAAGCAAGTATTCGTAGTCTCTGAGATATTTTCTTCTTATATTTTTTAAGAGCAGTAAATCTCTTTGTGAAGTTCGTCCAGGGAAGTATTG